AAACGAGGTAATGTTTACAACCATGCCAGAAAATCTGTCTGTGCGTTTGCTAAAACGTATACGTGGAAAAAGAGATTTTCCAAAAAATGATGAGGATTTTCTCGCTACATTTGTTGAGCTTGGCTGGGATGTTTTCCCATCTTTGTGCATTGCATAATATTGTTTAATACTCACAATTGGCTACTCAATTGCTAGTTGCGAACGATCTTTTTCAAAGTTTAAACAGATAAAAACATATTTGAGGTCTTCGATGTCGACTTAGCGCCTGTCAGTTTATCTTTGATTAGCATCGAAAAGAAATTCTTGACGTTCACATTTACGCATGTTAGAAGAGATTGGTAGGGGTAAAATGCTGTGTGGAATACGTTTTTTTTGCTTATGGACCGGGTTAACTTTTGAAAGTGTTTGATCTTTAGTCATTGATTTATTTTTGTTTTTTACAATTCGTTTCGTGTAGAATCTTGCAATCTTGTTAATCATGGCAACGTGTTCATTGATAATCTTGCCTTCTTTGTTTATTCTATCTTCTGTGTAAGTTAATTGATGAATATCTTTACTTATTATTCTTTTGTGAGTGAATGAGATGGCTTCGTTTAGATTAGAAGACCTTAATTAGCAACGAAGATACCTCCAGTTTCAAAGGATACGAAGAAGGAGAAATGGATTTTGAAGATGATGCTCCACATCAATTTTCCCAAAAGGAGTTAAATGATCTCGTTCGCGACCTCGGATTGCCAAACTGTTAGCTCCCATTCTTTCATGAGTGATTGCATGGGTACCGGTACGGTCAGACGGTACCGTACCGACATCGCACGAGTGTCCAGACAACTGAGCAGTTAAGCAGCATTTTCCAATTAAATTACCTTCTACACGTAAAAACAAATTTTCGTATTCAATTCTATATTCTCTTATCATTATTATAAATATATTGCTTGTGGTTGAACTTGTAGCATGGAGATTTCATAGAACATTTTCATGTTGAATTTATTGAATATTGCTCATGAAAATCAGTAGTGAGTTAGAAACCCAGGAAACACATTCGTGCGTGTAGGATTAAGCCTGACAACGTTGGTCCCAAGCATCATCAAATTTTCTAAAAATAAAAACGCGTGACAACGATGGGCCACGAGGCGGACCATCGTTGTCAACCTTTTTATTTTCTTTTTATCCAATTTTTTTTTTTTAATTATTTTTTTTTTCATTTATTTTTTTTCAATTATTTTTATGTTTTTTCACAACTATTTTTTTATTTTCGCTTTTTCATTTTATTTTTTCATTTTTTTTTTAAATTTTACGCGTGACAACGATGGGCCACCATACATCTGGCTTGTATTTATCACTCCGATTTGAAATACAAACTTTTTTTTACATTTTCCATTACTTTTCCTTATCAATGAGCACCATTCAGTTTTTATTAATCGATGTTTCCATCTCATAATCAATATATATTGTTGGACAAATAATTTTTTTTCTTTTTTTAGTATGTGTGCTGACAAAATGACGTCATAAATCATAATGACACATAAATGTAATCAATTTTGTCAATCGGGATGATTTTTTGAAACGCACAAACTTGACCTGATGGAGAGAAACGGATGTTATTTTCGGATTCAGCAGTGCCAAAATACCCCAAATCAGTTGCAAAAATCTAAACAACATTCGAAAAGTAAAAAATTGTTGGCCAGTGTAATCTGTTTATCCCCCGAAATATTTTTGAAGTTAGGTATACGTATAAGGCATCCTTACCAGAAACTCGCTCCGGGCAGCAGAAAAGTTTGGCACGTCCCTGATTATGTTTCTCGTTGATGCAAACTTTATTGAAATATATAAGCCTCACGGTCTTAATTTCTACCATGAAACTTTATTTTTAACCCATTCATTAAAAGGGATGGCGATCATTTTTTTTATTATATGCTGTTGCTGATGTTTTTCTCCAAACTGGTATGAAAAACTCATATTTCTAATCAACTACTGGACCAATTGCTTTGAAAGTTCCGGTGGTTAAAGATTGTATTTCTCGCTAGAAAGTTATTACTTCTATTTATTTCAAAACTTTCCGTGGGATTTATGTGATTCGAAATTTTGTTTGATAACCTCTTCAAAATTAATATAAATATTATGTAGTGGTTCTGCGACATCTCTCGTGCGCGAATGTCGGAAGTTTTTTGACGGTACCATGTGAGGTACTTCATGGAAGATAAGGTAGACTACTGCTTCGCTTAGGCGTTCGTGTTCATAAGTTTGAACACAGCTCTCTTGTTTATTTATTATGCAGATGTTGCTAAATTTTGACGCAAATAAACATACATACATTAACTGTTCATTCACATGAATACGACCCTGCGTTAAAATGTAGTCTGGTTTTATCGATTCGTCTTTTACATTAGGATTTACATATTTATCCCGGAGAGAAGTAAGCCGATAAGACGACTTAATCATATGGCGAACCACGGCCTCTCGTCCGGTTACCAGTCCAGTCGGGTATGGGATTAGTTAGCCGGTTATTTGTTTTCGGAAGCATGGACTTGATGGTGGAGGAAGCAGCCGTAACCGACCAGCGGTTACGTGAACCACATGATCATTCCCGCATGGGAATCGAACCTGCGATCCCACGAAGGGTAATCAGAGATGCGGTGGCGAGCGTATTCCTAACGCTTAGCACGATGCGCCACACCGCCGACCCACTTGATCAATATTGAAAGCTACGTCATGGATCCCAGGAATCTTTTGTGGTATGCCGAAGGAACAAAAAATCAAGAGCAAAAAATTGCAAAACACCAAATAACAGCTCGAACATTAAACTGCCAATTAGACTTTAATTAATACACTTTAGATTGAAAAACGGGTTTGGCAAGTGGAATATCATTATTATGAAAAAAAATTAATGAAAACAAACTTCAAGTTATCACTTTACTTGATACCAAACACACGTATGGCGATGGGTCAGTACAATAATTTAGCGCTATTTTTACTGACTCAAATTGAAATGTAAATCTCAATCAGACTTCTGTGATAGAATAAATTTTGTGACAAGTAATATTCATACATGTTAGTGAGTACTTACTTCTGCAGCGTCGCGGTTTCAGGAATAAGTATGCTCGCTAAGTCTGTACACCTTAAGAAGATTTCCTTGTCTGCCAGGGTACACATTATGTTCAATAGTCCGGTGCTGCAAATAAATAACTTTACAAGCCGGCAGAAAAGCACGGATTGATCAGATACAACAGAGCAGCGAAAGTACGCCCGACCTCACCTCAAACAGCAGCCAGACTAGAAAGAGGTGGTGCACTACTAAAACAGGGTCACGGGAACAGAGTGCTCGTAGTCGACCAAGTATAGTAATCTACTTCAGCGGAAAATACATTTTTCGAAACCATAGCTGTGTCTCCTCATACTAACGTATCCTAAGATACTATAAAGAAGTAAAATAATATAAAAGGAATAAATTCGGTCCCGTCACACTTTTGTTTCTTGGCGGCACAGTGCAAAGAGAATTGGGAATTAAATGTAACGTGCTTCATATTTTCGCCTTTTGGATTGTTTATTTTTTATGTCTCAGCATTATTAAACATGGATATATCAATTATGATTTTACCTTCACGAGAAGTCTTTAGAGCCACGAGTCATCTTTAAATGCATGATGACAGTCACGGAGTCATGTTAGTAGGGAGCAGTTATGACTATGCACTGATAATTTTTGGCCGCTGAAGGCCCGTTGATGCACCCATTGTTTACCGTGAAAGCTTCTTCTTCTACATATACTTTTACGTGCAAAAAACAACAACTTAAAACATAATTTTTATATCCCTGTGGTGGCTTTATTGTCTATGTACCCATGTACACCCCTAATGTCGCATCCTTGAGTTTTCAGAATGGAGATTTTCATATTATATTTATCTCGGGGGAGAGATGTACAACAGCCGTATATGGGACTGGTGTGCTGTTGCAGATGCATTGGAAGAAGCCCTGAACCCGCGAGAAGTCCAACAATTTTCTCTCATATTATACCTATACCCCAGGCCAGGGGAATGCGAACCCTTGCAGGGCAATCAAAGGTGGAGTGGAAGTGGTGACTCCTCTTCGGCCCATGGGACGGGGACATCAGGCTATGGGCCGCGGCCCATCAAGTTGTGTAAAGGAACTATTCACTTGGCTAACACAGACAGTCCCCAAACTCATAATAGAACTATAATGTAAAAAATCGGAACAAAATTTTGCCCTAACCCTAACCTGGTACACATACTACAGGAGTTTATTATTTGGTTCGAATATCGACAATTTTGTAGAAATTGAAAATTTTGGTAAGATAATTGAATTTTTCCTGACGGGGCCGCGGCCCATAGCTTGATGGGCCACGGCCCATGTGGCCCAATTAGATGGGCCGCGGCCCCGGCCCATGGGCCGTAGTGGAGTCACCACTCCTGTAGCAAAGGTGTGGTAACAAGCATTTTCCCAAATATACACCTTGCACGGACATTTGCATCCATCCAACTTTTCGATGAGATTAAAATAAACACATCATATCCTAAATTTGGCACCGGGGCAAAGTTTGACAGAAATCTGACACCGAGTCTGCTGTAACTACAATAAATGAATTCCACAATCGGCATATCACGATCAGAGAACGATATTAGCTACCATAAAAGACCTAGTGAAAGATAAAAAATTTTTTGTTTTTGCTGGCAACACCTTTTCAGGATACCTGCGGTTGAGCAAACACTTGAGATTTCAAGGCGACACAATTATCACAAATTAGGATGTATCCGGAAAGATACCAAAATCGCTAGCAAAGTGTTTAGGATAATGTACTTAATGGATAATAACTTAATGTACGGTACATCTTCTAAACTAGTGTAGTCTTGCTGAATCACTCAAAGATCACTGGGCACTCATTTATGAATCATCATCATATAAAAGCCCAGAATTTTGCCTTTGCAAGGGGTTGAGGTTGGAAATTGTTTGAAATTGCGGTATAGTACAATTATACAAATTTAGCATAATAGCATTAAATATATGAAATAATTTATTTTTCGACGAAAACAAAAAACCCTCATAACATGAATAAATCAAAGATATCCAAACTGACAAACAAGTGTTAATTAAATAACCTGGACAAAATGAAACAATCCAGCAAGATAAAAAAGTAGACATCAACAACTAGTTAGCGTGCTAAAGCAATCAATCAAAGCATATATATAGAGAGTATGGTTGCCTGTTGACTCCAAACCCTTGTTTCATTTTTATCTTAAAAGTCAGGGTGATGCAACTAACATATAGACCTCAATAAAATTTAATTTGAGGTCACTTTTCTGGCAACTTGTTTTTCTTTGATTGAAGCAAAACATAATTTCCAAATTGGTTTCTGGTCTCAAAAATATAAGGAATATAAAAAGCTCTAAATATTTTATTATGCGACTGTGAAACATCAAGAAAAGCTACAGATTTCAGAAGTTTCCAATTTTTGGAATGCAGTGCATAATTTGGTTCATTAATTGAGTATTTTGAAATTGACAAATCAACAAGAAAGTGACAGGACTCGCTGTCAACATATCTAGAAGTTTCCTCCAGATTTGCATCATTCATATCAGTCGGAATATGCCTTGAACCCTCCGGAGGCAAGCCAACAAAGTGACTGGGCAGTTGAGCTCGAAAATCGGATTGGATAAATTCCATACTAAAATTAGCAGGCAGAAAAAAGCTTGATGGATAACGATACCACTCCTTCCCAACACAGACGCGCATATTTGGATGCTCATAATTTCGATTTTCAGAAACCATCATTAAACTCGGATATACTTCCAAAGGTGCATGATAAGCTTGGAATAATGCTATTGATCGCGAGAGCGATAATATGATGTAAATTCCTAGTGTTGACAGGGACATCCATCTAGAATCTAGATAGTCATGCAGTTTAAATACGCAATATAATTTTTGAACAGTAGCTACTGCAATTGATGCGGACAGACAAATCAAAGGATAAATTGGGAAAAGAAATCTTTCTTCTTTATGTGGCTGACTGAAAAAAATCATGACCCAAATATACATTGGGGTCAAAAACAATAGAAAAATAATATATGCCGGCTTGTACCCCTTGATTTTCAACATGATCAACAGTTCAGAAATAAAAACAATGCCACCACTTAATATGGCTAATATGAAAGCCAAATTAAAATTGAGAAACCCATTTAGTAAATAGTATGACAATGGCTGTACCCCATAAATATCTGGTCCATGTTGTGTAAATACATTATAATGAACAATATTCAAAGAAGCTATAACAGGTTTTCCATAATAATAAGAATCTATTGCCATACAAGGTAGCAGCATAGTCACTAAAGCAACAAAGCACCATTTTGCGAACTGAAAATAACTACGCCTTCGCAGAAGAATATCTATCGCAAGTGGAATTCCTAATGCAGCTGAGAAAGGCCAACCTATTATAGCACCAGCTGCCACAGATAGAACAGCAAAGTGTAACTGCCCCTGCATCCATGAACCAAATGTTAGAAATGTCATATACATACAAAAACTGCTCGGCAAAAATGCAACAGCAGATATAAACATACCAGAACCAAAGGTAAGAAATACCAAGAGCATGCGAGCAACATTACCCCCAAACATTAATGCAACACCTTTGTAAAAATGTACCTCTGATAAAGAGCAAAACAGTGCTAGCATAGCCCGAATAAAATAAAACACAAGCAACTTGTTTGAATTGAACAAGTTCAAGTGGGCCCAAGTCAGAATAGAATGCAGTCTAATATAAGACCATGATCGTATTGCATAAGCTGGTGAATATTCCCAAGTTTGAAAACCGTTTCCGTACATAAGGTAATGCAAAGGTTCCCAATAGTTGAAAGTCTCATCACAGTCAGATATATTACTCAAAAGAGCGGAGGCAAGATTTGCAGACATGAAAAACTTGAATGCAGTACTTGCTTCTGGTAGCCAAATTTCTGTCGTCCGGCGCGCTTTTCTATATGGATTCTTGTCAGCACTTGGTGGATTACTTTCATCTTCTTGAGGAGCAGTTTTTACATAAATATTCGGTTTGACCTTCATGATTTCAATGAGTTGTAATCTTTCTAATATTCTCTCTATTGTTAAAAGTAACAGAACACCATTATGAAATTAGCAATGTATTGACGGGCCAGTTAATATGGATTAGATGATTAATATCAAGCTGGCAAATGAACAGGGAACTCAAAATATAATTCTGTATTTTCAAATTAGTAAAGGTACCCACTCAGAAATTTAAAAAACGTTATCATTACAAAAAAAGCACAAAAGATATTTCCAACTCATCGATGTGCAGTAGAAATGCACTCACTTTACATTATACTAGCAATAAATTAAAAAAAATGTTCAGTGCACCAAGTACAGGCACCGATGACTTTCTGTTTGTTTACCAAACTTTCACACAATATCACAGGAAAAGCTGGTCTTATTACTTACTGAATAGAGCGCGAAGAGCGCAGAAGAGAGGAAAAGAGCGCGAAACAGCGCAGAAGAGATGGAAACATTTTTCTTTCAATATTTATTAGCGTCCATAAAAATTTTAAACAATTTGATGGAAAACAGCATACAGTAGTAGGGAATGATAACGAATTTATATAAGTAATCTTCAACATCTTTAAATAACTCAACATGACGTAATATGAGCACACCCAAAGTGACTATAGTGACACTTTGAGCACACCTATCAAAAAAATTTTGGAAAGTATGTGCACCAAGATGCGCACAGCCTGAACCCAGTATGTGTACCAGGTTAGGGTGCGTCATGAAGTATGTGCACCAAGATGGCGCACAACCTGAACACAGTATGTGTACCAGGTTAGGGTGCGTCATGAAGTAAATTTCTCCTTATCTTCTGCGATGTTTCGCGCTCTTTCCCTCTCTTCTGCGCTGTTTCGGGCTCTATTCAGTAAGTAGTAAGACCCGCAAATTGAATACCTATGGGGGTAAAATTTTGCTGCCTTAACCAAGACAGATCGGCTTTAATGGCAGGACTGCCCCTGATGGTGACAAATATTGGGTAAGTTGGAACATTTTTCTTATGGATACAGTTTTGAAGGATTTGGGGTTAGGTTTCATGATTTGTAAATCCCGCCATGGATTTGCGGGAGCTTCAGACGCCTCAAAATACTTAAAACGAGAATATCGGTTGGAAACCGAAGACTTATTGATCGATAGTTAGGGGGATCCCCCAAAACAGAAACTGCAGCTTCGATTCATCCGCTCTTGTAACTTGCGCACTGCGCATCGCACACACACACTCGGCGGGTCTCAAAATTCTCTTGCTTTACAAAAATCTAGTTCGCCCAAAATCAATAGGCTTCTGGTCCGAGATAAGATGAATGCACATGCAAAATCTGGAGCAGATTCAATCTCGCTTTCGTGAGATATCGCGTGCATCTAACAGACAAACATACAGACAAACCAGACTGGATTCCATGGCAGATGCACGCCCGAGGGCGCTAGCGCTCCACAAAAATGCACGCGAGCGAATTCAATTTTGCACGCCGAAAATTTGCAATTGCTCACCAATGTAAATCGGTTTAAATAGTTTTTAAATCAATAATCTAGTAATATAAAGATGCCAAAAAATTATAACTTTACAATTGTCGACTAATACTTGCTTGCAAGATTTGGCCTGATCGAAAAATGCGAAGCAAAAATCACCATATCGTGTTGAATGATAGGAATCCCGTGAGAAAAATCGCCTCCTCACCGACGCTGGCCAGTTATGGCTCTGATTCAGCGTATTTTTAATACAATAATTTTACACGGATGTACTGAACAGTACCGGTATCTAAAGTCGCACAAACACTCTCAAAATTAGTGACAAAATATAGAAATGATGTTTTGGGGGTCAAAGGTCAAACGTCCATTTTTGCTATGATCCAACTTATTTTTACGCGGATGTATTGAGAGGTATCTTAGTTCGAAATCAGTTTAGCGGGCGCAGTTGTTTTGCACGCCGTGAGCTATAATTGCACGCCAGAAATTCTTATTTGCACGCGGGAATTTCTGATTGCACGCCCGATTTCTCGTTCGAAAAGGCCATGAAATCCAGACTGGCAGACAAATACCTATCAACATACTTACCGATTAAAATCGATAAGTAACTAGAGTTAAAATGAATAAAAGTCCATACCGGTATCCTAACGATAAGAGCGGTTTGAGGAATAGACTTTCGCGCCTCCGCACTCGCCGACCGACGCTAATAAGAATGTCACGCGTTGTCTCTGCTTTGGCCTTCCGTCAAAGTGTTATAGTCACTTTGCCTTCCGTGACCCAATAGCGACACCATAGGGATATTCGAGTAAGTATGAATAATTAAGCGGTATTATATGATGAATTTTTAAAACACCGGTACACAGTTTAAATAATATAAATCTCAAGATTACATTAATTTCAAACAAAAATGGGAAAAATAAGTAAAGTAAATGAATGCTTGCTGGCGAAGCAAAAATAATGCAAAACTCTACCAATGCTTAATATTTTATCGACACTAGAGGCAAAAGAGAGTAAACTTTGTTTTCATACACAGGTGTAGTGAGCATTATGGTATATTCAGTATGAGGGTTTTCCTGATCTACGCTTTGCGGTATTGTGTTTTTAACGCATTGAGACATTTCTGCATTTGAGAGAGTTTTAATAAAAATTGGATCATTTACAATCGCCATGTTACCGTAATTATCGTGTTTGTATCTATACTCTTCGGGAGTACGGTACTGCTGTACTGATAGGTACCGGGTACCGGTACCGGTACCGTATCTGTATATTCCTCGTTAATTTTCAGATATACTGATCTAAGAGTTTGCTACCGTCAGACCGTACCGTAGTCTATTTTTTAATTTTAATTGTCAGATTGTGGACGAACTTCATCGGGTCATGGAAGTCATGGATGAATTACATACTAACGGCCAAATCAACAAAGTTGATGGCAATGTAGATAATGGAGATGCATCGTTGCAGGTTGATGACACTTTTATCTCTCCGTACAATTCACCCAGTCGAGAAAACTTCCAATATAATGCAACTGCTGCACATGACTTCATTACAAATTCATCAGAAGGAATAGTCGATGAATATTTCAATCAAATGCAAATGAAATCTGTTGAAAATAGTGGAAAAAATATCACCAATTTTGAAAGTGATATTTTGAAAGAGCTTCAAGATGTAGCACAATCTGATAACCTTATCCAATGTGATGGAAATTCAACAGAATGTAAAAACAAAGAATCTGTTATTGAAAATGGATTTGATGGTCAGTCTAATTGTATTTTTATTGGATGCAACATGCAATATTATTCAATACTCGATATTACAGTATTAGTTGAATGAAGTTCATTTAGGTTACTTGTGCCAAATTCGGTGATAGTGATAAAAAAATAATTTTTTCTGCGCATGCCATTCTAGTATATTGTTTCTTCGATGTTATCTCTTTAGTTCTTGAGTTGAATCACTTTTAATGAATAATCAGTAAATTTGATTTTATACAAATCTTTTCATGTTTTTAATGCTCTCTTGCGAAGCATTATGTGATTTTGACAAATTTTGGATGGCAAAAGTTTCTATGATGCCAGTTTTTTATCAGTTATTCACTAGATTTTTTTGCCTCATTTGCAAATTTATATTTTATACCACAATGAAGCCGGGGATTGAATCATGTATTTGAAAATTAAAAAAAAGGTTTTAATATTCTTGTAAAGATGTGATAATGATCCTAAACAATCATTACTAATTGCATAGTTCTCGGAATTTTTACTTTCATTATTTTTCCTAATAATTCTGTGACTTAAATATCTAGGTCCAATTCAGGCTTTCCCGGATTCAAATTCGATAGGAGAAAAAAGCCAGGTAATTAATATAGTTTATGTGAATTTGGGCTCTAAAAGGCTAACAATTCCTAATTTGCTTTCACTTATTGGATGGTGTATGTATCAGTGTAACAATTTTGAAAGATATCCAAATGCTGCTGCGTACCACTACTGATTTTGGAACAACTAGTTATTAGGTAGATATCCTTCTTCTGTGCCTTAGTGCATAATAAAATGTCTTTTCCGCTATTAGATGTATTAGCCTACCCTTCAATTATCAAAGATATGATTTTAGTGAGTGAGATGTTTTTATAGTTTGATATCTTTATGGCTCAATGTTATTTTATTCAACTAAAAATTTATGAATGTTGCATTAATTGTCACTGTTCAGGATTTTGATAAGAAAAATGATACTGCAACTGGAGATATGAATTTGGAACAGACTAATCATGTTGATTCTGATTCCCACACACCATCGGACACAAATAATGCTGAAGCCAGTCCAACTGAAACTGAAAAAGAGAAAATCATTGCTGATATGTTGGCATCGACTCAGGAAAGTACACCAAATAAGGTGTGTCTAGTTGATTTTTGCTTCATATTTCAGAAACAGAACTTACATTAAGCTTTAATTACCGGTTTATTTTGTTAATTAACATGATCAGTGGCATATTTAAAATCATAAATATTTCATGAAGTTGTTGTGCAAATTTAAACGATAGAAATTACAAAGAAATTATTCTAGGAATTATCGCACAATGAGATGGTGTCCATATCCAAGAAGATGGAAGAAGAATTTCGATCAATGGTTATAGAAGAACAACAAAAAAAGAAATTATTAATAGAAGGGGCTTCTTATTCATCAAAAACTGGTGAGAGTTGTTTTCATCATTCATCATGATTTTTTCAAATTCAATTTTTTTTTTATCATTTTTTAACCATTTTAATACACGTTGGGTGAAGCGGTGGGTATGGTTTTTGGGCTTGACATCCTAAATCTATGTAGGCCAAGTAGTTAGATTCATCACTGAAATTACCATGCCATGATGGAAATGGGAATGTCTCTAAAACATTTTGTGACATTCTGTTTGAAACCAGTGCAGAAATATTGTGGTTCTGTTAGAGGTGTATTTAGTTTTTGGTTTTATATATAGTCAACATGAATTTTACATTTGCAGTGAGCCTGAAGCTTTTTATTCAACACTGAAAAGATCCCCTTTTTTTATGTATTGCAGGATTAGTGGCATGTACCATATCATACCATAGGACATCATATTGTGAATATGCTAAATTTTTACAGATATATTTTGCGAAGCATGATTGAATGCTTCAGCATTGATTTTAGATCATTACGGGGAATTATTTTCAGTTACATTTGGTATTGTAATACGATATATTCAAATGGGATGTTGGCAATCACTTTAGTTTGTTGGGAATGAGGCTGATTTGAAATTCAGTTATTTAACATTTATAAAATAATAATTCAGAATATTTTAATATAGAACAAAAACAAAAAAAAACTGGGCAACGCTGGATAATTGAAGTCCTTTTCTGCATTTATGCGTCAAACATGCATTGATTTGTTTAAATTTCTCTTATAAATATAACTCAGTTTAAAGTACTGTAGGTTTGAAAAGCTGTATTTAAACCTATTTTTCCCAATATTGCATTTTTAATACTAATAACATTCATTTGGTTTTTATTTTCCTGTATCACTTATTGAGCAAATCTTCTGTGTGGTTTCACAAACGAGGTATTTCAATCATACTGATGTATCTACTAGACGAGTACTACTCTTCCGACTCACTTGTACACATGTCTTTTTCCATCCAGTGTTAAATAATTTATTTTTGAATGGATTTCATGTTTTGGCTGAAAGTAAGTGTTTTTCTCGTAAGCATATTGGATGGGATCTTGCATTCAAGTACATCGCCAGGTTAATATCATATTGATTCGTGGTGATTGTAAAGAAAAATCTTATTTTGCCAGTTCCTTTGAAAAAATTGGAAAAGGTGAGATGGTTCCAGTGAAATCTATATTAATATTCATATAGCCTATTAATCTGTGTGGATCTATTTTATTGAGGATAAAAATTTGTACATTAAAATAATCTTTTGTATTAATGTGTTATAGTATTCAGCGAATCAATTTTGATATTTTGAGTTGTCCAGGTTATCCAAGTTAATATATTTCGACATATGAAGTCCATTTTTTGACTGTGCATGGGCTACTTTATAATTTGTTATTTCTCACTTAACCCTTATAATATAAATGGTATTTAGGCGTTTGCCTGTTCAGTGTTAAAAACACTTTAAATGGGGATTTTGGTACTTGTCATCGAAGTTTGATGCTTTGTCTTATTTTGTCTCAAGTACTTCATAGAGTGCTATCATCAGCTGAACTTGTATCAAATCCATAAGATTTTTACAATATTACTTTCATTTGTGAAACTTGTCATAGATGGTATATTTCTCGTGCAGAAAAAAGCCTATTATGAGCTTAGCTACACTTAATATTGATACTAAACTTGGTGCGGCGGTAAGGTCTGTTTGGCAAAAATGCTGGTTTAACGAATTTGATAATCCACCTATAATATATTGTGTTGCAGCAATGTGGGATAGGTGCTGCAGTAAAATTTATGCCCGAGTAACTTTAAATTACCTTTCAGTTATGCGGCTGAGAGAAATATTTTATCGGCAATTGGAAACGTGTCGTTTGTAAAACGATGTTATTAGAATGTACCAGGCGTTAGTTAATAAAAGTGTGTATTCAGAAGAAACAAGATGCAAAATGTTGTGTAATTTATGGAGCGTATTATAAATCATGATTGATGAAGTATCGCCTATCGAGTAGCTTTTTCTGTTTGTTTCGATCATAAATGTAGTGTGGCCACTGATGACAAAATGTCATGTAGCTAGTAAAGAGTCGGTAAATGATAGTGTACATGGGGATTGACGATAGTTAGAGTCGCAAAAGTGTACAACGCACTTCGTGTGAAAATATATTGTTATTTAATGCAGAATTGTCGAAAATATAACTCGTGAGTATATATTAAAACTATATGGGATCAGGAAAGCGTAAATAAGAACTGAATTAATGTAGCGTGCGGGTGGATTATTTTACGTAAACACTCCCGATTCATTCCCGATACAATATGAGATGATGACTAGAAAGCAACTGGTAGTTTTCATCGCACCTTTGTACTTGTTGAAGTAAACTATCCCACTGGGATTCAAGCCATGATGATGACAACTTTAACCCTAGCCCAGGTTATTAATATTCTCAACAGGCACAATCGTTATGTCAAGTACTGAAAGAACTTGATGATGAGCGAACGAACGACGGTGTTGATTTACTTGGCAGACGCCACATGAAGTTATGTTGCTTTCATGGGTTTGACGAAGATCACTTGATCACTTTTTGTCTTGTAACAGGTTCTATATTGAGGATTCAGCTTGATCATTTTAGCTCGAGGTTTGCCAGTTGCTTGTAAAAAAAATTTCGATTTGAAATTATTTCACTATTGCTTAGCGCGTATTACCCAGAGAAGTCAGGTTCTAAATTGAGACAATAATGCAACAATAACGATTTATTTACCTCGTTCAATAGTGCGTATTGTTTTGTTTGAAGTAATTTTAAGATAATTGTCAGCCATTTAATTTCTCGTAACTATTGATATTAATATACTTATTTTGCAGTATTATATGATTTCGTTCGTTTTTGAACCTTTGACTTTGTTTCGTATTACGCGGAGGTCACTAAGTAGCGTTCAATCGCCATTATCTGCAATCCGATAACACAATGTTCTTAAATGGTGGTTGAAAGAGTTATCCCTGGAGATTAATTGGTTAATGCGGTGGATTTGATTGTCGATATATTGAACCACAACATCCCATTTCGGTAATAATGCTTTCATCGATTCGGCAGCATATTTTTGTGTAGGAATTTAGATTTTACCGTAGGTAGGGATGTCATGTTTCAAGTTGGGATTTGGTTGTTTTTCAAGAGCCGACGGATTACGGCGATATCTTTCTAGGTTTCAAAAAACTATTAATAATATAAATCTAGTATGTGAAAGATATTGGGATTTGACTTGAAATATGACGTTTTTGTCTTTTATTTTCACGCCCTTTGTTTATCTTCGGCCAATGATGATGCACGGAAAATTGTACTAGTTCACAACTAGCGAATCTTTTTTTGAAATATCGCAAAAGCAATTATATTTATTTATTATAATCGGAATATTGTATAAGATTTATTTCGGAAAGATTCAACTGGTTAAAAACGACAGTTAAAGACGACTTTCATTAGTACGAACTGATACCGTGGGTCGTATATTACCGGATGATATCCTCCCAACTGCATTTGCTTGTGATCAATGCTACTTCAACTGTACTTTCATACCTGTTCGCAATATCCCATTCTTCGATTGTGGAATTCTAAGTAGATTACGATGTTTGTAGCAACGGAGATCGCGAACTATACAAAAAAATGTGTTTTTAACCATTTTATCTGCTCTAAAGCTGATATAAATCTCGAGGGAATGCTTTGATACGTTTTGTTTAAATATTGGCGGACAATGCGCTACCTGTAATTCTTGAAATAAATCCACTCGAGTAAGTTAACAAAAGAAAATTTTTTTTTTACACATTTGAATTTATTTTGATTCTATATATGCTGCTAGTTGCCGTTCTTGTCCACGTGAAAGCACATTTTGTAAATTGATAGCGTTCTCTGTAATTGCGTCGGGATTTGATATCGCTTTCGGTCGAAAATGCAAAATATAATCGTTTATTGATTTTTAATGCTTTTCTGGAGACGGCGAGTTAGTACAGCCTCACTTCTCGATTATTTTTTCGAGCCTCGCGAAGCAGATGTTGATGCATATTTTACTTTTCACAGTCGATAGTAGAATTTTAAGATGGGGAGGGGGCTGGTACAGTTTAGCTTGATTATTTGCCAATTACGCAGAGTCTGTTTCAATAGTAATATCGGGAAAATTCTATAAATTTAAGACTATTGAATTGTTAGCGATAGCATTGTAGTGTGCAGGACTGCGTCATTAGGATTGATATGATCTATACACAAAAAATTGCCTTTGTAAAGGGGATTTTTCTTAGTTAAACTATACACTAGAGCTGAAATTGCGCATAACGTCAACGTATGTTGTTTTTGATCGGGTTTTTCTCGTTTGGTATATTACGTCAGCAAATATTAATTTGCGCATTAGGTCTTTAGAATAGTTTCTTGAAACCTAGTGTACCTGGTTTAGTCAATCCGGGAAAATATAGGCTACGTCCGAAGCAATTTTGTAATTGTAAGTCACAAGCCCGCAGCCGAAATAAAAATATATTAGTACTATTGTCAAATAATAAATTTTCTCAAAAATGACCGTAAATTCTCCGTTTCTAATAAAAAAGTGTCTATAACTGGTCCTATAATTTTTTTTTACAATTTACGACACCATTTCGGCTATTTCACCGTTCGTCGCCATCTCAACCGGATATCGACTTGTTCACAAGTGAATTGTGGACAGGGAAACGGGGCGTTATTTTATTGTTGGTAGGATTTTGCGAATCCCATTTAAGAAGTGGACAATGCTATTATGATGTCCATTGTTATGACATGTATATTATTCTGTTGTTGGAAACGCGTCCGCAGGCGTCTAACGTCCAGTCAAGATGTTGTCATGCTATAAAAACACATCTTATAACTCCCCCGAAGTATATAAAATGGAACACACACGTAACTCGTAACAAGTTGAAAATTGTTATTTTCGGGATCGTTCATGTTACATGTTAATTTGTTGGCGAGGAAGGTACGAAAATAAAGCGGTGTGAAACTGGAAATTTTTTATTACAGAAGATTAAATATGGAATTTTGAATTATTGTGATTTTATTTATTATGAATTACATGAATGCCAGTTGTTTATAAAGGGAATCCCCAATTTTTCGTTTTCTGTGAAATATTTTGAACCGTAGCTATTTTAGTCTTGCAAACATTGAGTGCCCGTGGGACGATGTTCCATTCAAAACCTATGAAACAATTTCACATTAGAGAAGGTTGTTTTGTCTTGGCGGGTTTCTATAAATTATTCATGACTTCTAGGTCAAACGTAAGATTTCTTCATACTTTGGTTTTTGCCCGCCGTTGCAAAAACACATTGCTTGAAAGGATGCAAGTCTTACGCGTCATTGTTGAAGCAATCCCTGTGTGTGATTTTAATTTAGTTAATCAAGTATATTACACAGAACCAAAAACAAATGGGGAAGGTTGTTCCTACTGCCTGTTTTTAATGGAATTTGTTCAGAAAAGACAGGAAAGACATGTACATACTAGCACTTGTTAGGGAAGGCGGTGGCGTTTCAATGTTTGATTAAATGATATTGGAAAGCAAATGACCCTATGATATTGACAATGGCCAAGTGTATGCTGCCAATGATTTTAATTTAGCTCATTAAGTATATTACACAGAACCAAACATAAGGGAGTACCAGTAAGTTGTTCTGCCTGTTTTTAATGAAATATGTTCAGATTAGACAGAAAAGACCATAATACTCTATAATTGACAATTTTTTATTGTATGTACATGTACATTCTAGTACTCGTTTTTTATTTATATATTTGATTTTTTGAAACTAGTCGTTATTATGAAGATGAGCTTAGATAATTGAAGATTGTTATTCAAAAACGCTACACATGTTTTCAAGATAATTAATTGATATATTTTCCAACGTTTTTCAGAATATTCAAATAATCATATTGCAACTGGAAAGATTTCATCAGAAGCAAAAACAAAGGTAATCTATTTTGCAAGTTGAAATGAAAAATAATCAAAAAATATAATGGCATCTCTGTGTAAAGGATAAAGTCCCTTTTAGTTGAGAAAATGATATAAGAGAGTATTTGCTACAATGAATTGGTGGATTACCATATATCAATATAACAATTCATCTTAATTAGAAGATATTGTTCGCCTGTACTGTACACTACAATTCTAATTGTTAAACAAGCATACGACATCCAAAACGAATCGAATATTCGAATGTATTCGAATATCAAAGTATTCGAATACCTTTTCGGCTGATTTTCGAATAATTCCGAATAGTAGCCACTTTTCGCCGTAAACGTGGTGTTTCGTTTTACGGGAATATTCAAACGACTTTTTACGCTGTCTCACGTATTGTAATGACGATGAAATAGAATCGGCATTTTGATTGTTTATATTCTGTGCGACGGTACGTCGCATAGTGTTGCGACATGTTTGCGCGGGTGGACATTGCCGACATTCGTCTACAAGGCTTTTAATTTACAAATTCATTTCCATTACGTCAAAAATTCGTCTAATGAGTCGCTTTTCTAGGCGGGGTGGGGGCGTCTAATCGAGAAAGTATGTTTATTTTATTTCGATGTGGCCTGCTTTTTATTCGCATGAGTCTTCTCAAACATGATTTGTGTAACCTTATATTTGGGTCTTAGGGCCTGCCAATCATGATATTTAATCGCAGGCCGGTTATCGTTACTTTAAAGAGAAACACGGCCACCGAGATAAAGTGATTTGTGACCCTTTCGTTTTGCCGATTCAGCAGAACACGACAGGGACAGGAACACACAGCTGTGAAATAACCCGTGGACGTACAGTGTAGTACTTATCACATTTCAAAATTATTTCAACATTCGGGTTAATAGGTTGTCCAAAATGATTGCCGCTTTACAACTTAAATTTACCGCTCAATTGTTAAATATAGTTAAATGATCTGGTTCTAAACATATAAAATTATTAGCGCATATTAGCATAACTGAACAACAGGGACACAATTTTTTTACCCGTCTTATTGGAGGCCTATATGGAAAAAACCCTTTTTTGAGTGCTAAAAATAGACATCGTCCTATTTGCCATGTGGACTTATTAGCCGGGAAATACGGTATTTATAGCCGTAATTGTTACGTATCAAATAAATTGTCACAAGTTGGAGAAAAAAGTCGATTTATTAGAAAATAATTTCTGGCAAATAATTTTGATAACGATAGTTAAAAGTATCGATCCTTTACCAAGATGATTTTTGTTGCGCAAAATAATCCAATCCATGACTGGTAACAGCATTTATTAAAATGTCATGCTGTATTAATTTAATTCTGTTCAACGTAACTCATGGTTGTATCGACAATCTGTGGACATAAAATGTGTGGTGAACTGACCGATATTATAAAATATTGATTCCTATTTTCATATTGATAAAATAATGAAAGTATTAATACCAAATACCACGGGTATTTGTGGTCATGAAATATGTAGTAAACTGCCCAATTAGAATTAAATTCTGATTCGTATTTACAAAATAATAAAACTATATTTCTAAAATGCAACGGCGATCTGTGGCCTTAAAATGTGTGGTAAACTGCCCGATTTACCAACATTTGAGTTATGATAATAGAATTAAATTAACACGGTGAGGCATTTCAAATAGAGGTATCGGTCATGGATTCGAATATTTTGCGCAGCACAAAATCATCCTAGTAAAAAGTCCATACTTTTAAATACAAACCAATGGCAACCATTATCCAAATTAGTTCCCAAAATGCGGGATAAAGTATAAATTATTTTCCAACGTGTGACTATTGAGTACGAAAATAAGAATTAAAAACTAATTATATTCGGCACAATATCATGGCAATCTGTGAACATAAATTGTGTGGCAAACTCGCGATTAATATTAATTTTTGATTCCTATTTTCGTATTTACAAAATACAACGGCGATCTGTGAACTTAGAATGTGTGATAAACTACCCGATTATAAATAGTTCTTGATTCCTATTTATAAAATAATAAAAGTATTATTACTCAAACATACAACGGCGATCTGCGGACTTAAAATGTGTGGTATAGTTCCCGAATATAATTAATTTTTGATTCGCATTTTTGTACTCACAATAACCAAAATAACTCATACTTTATCCCGCTTATCGGCAAATAATTTGGATAATGGTTGGTGTTTAATTAAGAGTATGGGCGTTTCACTAGGATGATTTTGTGTTGCGCAAATATTCAAATCCATCACCGATACCACTATTGCCGTATTAATTTAATTCTGTTAACATGACTCATGGTATATAAAATATATACTGGAATATGAAATGCCTGGTAATAAAGCTAGGTTGTAACTTCTAGATAGCAGTTATTCCATTGCTTATTGTATGGAAATTCCTACAATTAGTGGATTTTATTTTCGAAGTATTCGAAATTTCATATTCGAAAAAAATAATTTCGAATGTATTCGAAATAGTGAACTATTCGGTATTGGCCATCCCTGAGTCGACATCTACCTATTGCCTTTTAGCAATCATCAAGCACAGACGAAGCTGTACCGAAGCAAAACAAACCAACACCGAGAAGTTCTTTGCCTAGAAGGATTCCAACTCCACAATCAAAATCATCAACTCCAGGTCGACCTGGTTCTGCCAAAGCTGCCACCACCACTACTGCCGTCACAAATAAACGACACAATACTACTCAGTCCAACAGATTGAATACTGCATCGCCTGTGAAGCAAAACAACACTGCCAGAAGCACTCCAACTACAACCAGAATTACCCCAAAGGTAAGTTTTTATTCCTTGGATTTGAAATTTGATTGTATGTACAAAGTACATATTTTATAGGCTAATTGGGGAAAAATAATAGGTTGCAAGTCATGTAATCTAGCAATAAGAATGATTTTTTTGATCGTAGATAGAGGTACCATAGCCAAAGATTGCTATGAAGATTACTATAAGATAAAGTCTATTTGTTTTTCTATGACTGGGGATTCTACTATAACAGTATGATTAACTTTACAGGGTACAAGCACCACACCAAAGCCTTCTTCGGCAGGGGAGAAGCGTGCCCCGCTTCAGCCAACTACCTTGCGTACTAACACTCCAACACGTAAACCAACACAATCTAAAAATCATCCTTCACTCAGCACTACTCCATTGAAGGTACAGGATGCTGTATAATTCTATTATGCCTTATTATGAGAGTGCATGATGCTTCCTTATTAAAATCAGAAAATTTGAGGTAAAATAAATGGTTCTAGCGGGCCTGGAGAAAATTTAACAAGAAATGAGAGTGATGGCCTTTTAGAATTCATTATTACTAATTTGTAAATTTGAATGTTAATAGCCTGATGTCCCAAAACAGAAAATAACTTTTGTCCGAAATCCCAATAGCAACGACAATTTAGCAAAATGAATCATACGAACATGAATTAGGATGGATGTTTGACTGTTTGTGAATGAGGTTTCACACATTCCCAGCAATCACCATCTAAGATTAATCTGGAAAATAACCTTCATCTCGATTGAGATTTGCAACTCCAGTTTTCAATAAAATAATCAAAAGAGTTATGCATTTGAATGTATTGCTTAGATGTGTGAATTCTGTAATACATCCACTCCTGGCACTATGTTGAGATGTTTTTATTTACAATGGCGCGTTTTAAAACACAGTTTTAGTTTCGGCTGGAAATCATGTTTTTCCTACGACTTTAATCATTTTTAAAATATATGTCTTATTCAAATGCATAGCCAGCACTAAGATCTCCAAGATCTGCACCTGTTAGAAGCCCAGCATCTATTACACCCAGAACACCTAGGACTCCTAGCTCACAGGTATGAATTCTTTTTTTTGAATAATTTGTTTTTATGATGGTATGAATTCTATAAAAAACTGTTGTTGGTTTAATTCATTGTGAAAAGGGATAGGAATGGATATACATATTTATCCCGGGGAAAAGGAAAGCCTGTACGACGACTTAATTATATGGCAAAGTCCGGTTACCAGTCCATGTCTACTATGGGATTAGCCAATTATTTGTTTCAGATGCATGGACTTGGTGGAGGAAGCCGCAACTGACCAGCAGTTATGTAAACCTACAGCAATTGCACATAATTATTTCCCAAAGGATTCAAACCTGCAAACTCACGCAGGGTAATCAGAGGTGGCGAACATACTCCTAACGCTTAGCGCGATGCGCCGCACCACCAAGCTTCATTCTGTTTCCTTTCTGAGCTGAATATTGTTTGAACAATGTTGATATATACAATGAAAAAATTTCAGATTTGGCTATATGCATTACTATTTGTCCCAGTTTGTCATTATAGTTTTCAGGTTTGTAGTTGTTTAGATATACGTATCATTGTGCTAGTCAGGCAACTCTTTCCACTTTATGTGTTCCTGTCACCTGTACCATTCAACAATAGTTAAATTGTTTAGTCATCAGACGGTGGCAGACCTCGTCCAAGAATGCCCGACACAAAGAATGTAAAAAGTAAGATCGGTTCAATGGAAAATACTAAACACACTCCTGGTGGGGGAAAGGTGAACATTATTCCTAACTATTTAACTTAATATACTAATTTGAATCATTTATAATGAATAACCAAATGATTTCCTATTTTGAATTTCAATTACTCACACCCAATAATAAAACTAGCTTTCTCACCATTATTTTCAGCAATATTTTGTTGCGAATTGTTGAATATTGGTAATTTGTGTATAATTCTTATTAATTTTTTATGCTTCATTTATATCAAAAAATATGATTGATTTAATGATTAATTTCACAATTTAATAGTATTTCGACAGTATTTTGATTTGAGTCAATAGTTCTATTAAATCTACTCATTTTTTCATTTACACATTTTATCTATATCAGTAATATTTCAAACTGCCTTTTTCTGCATTTACTCTCTGTCCGTTCTTCCCTAATTTGTAAAATAATCCCATTTTTTTAAGAGGTTTGCCGAAATTTTGACTATCTCTAGGCTCCGTAACACTTTTTGCTTTGGTTAATTCCTGTCTATGATAAATCTTGTAGTTTGGATGATGAAGTCGATCATTCAATATATATTTTTAGGTGAAAATTGAACATAAGAAAGTTGATTACAGTAAAGTAACATCCAAAGTTGGTTCCAAATCCAATATACATCACACACCAACTGGAGGAAAGGTAACTGTTTTAATATTTTGCTACATTTGTTTTATTACTTCTTGTTAACAATGTTAAGTAATATTCTCAAAATCTCAAAGTGCATTTGTATCGTGGTATCCTGGTATTTTTTTCAGGGGGATTACTAATACAGTATAAAGCGCTATATGAATATGAACTAAGAAAACATTATTTTTGACCATAAGAGTTTACTTAAATTATTCTGTTAGAGCAGGTGTATGCAACATTTTTTGTTGGTGGGCCATGTAACCAACTTCTGATATCTAGCTGGGCCACTTGAGAAATTTAGCGGGAGGAGGCAGGGCAAGAGGAGATAGTGCAGAGATAGAGTATCATTATTTCATTCATAATTTGGAAGTTGAAATTTCTTTGATTTTATTGCATCTAGTATATGGAGTGAATCTTTGCAAGGGATCAATAAATGTCTTTACCCGTAAAAAAAAAATCATGTTCAACTTTTTGAAAGAACTAAAGGGGAAATATTAAACATTTTTTTCAGTAATGAATATTTGTTACTAAGCCTAATCAGTAACTACTGTAGCTCTTAAATACAAGTGAATGTTTGTACAGAGCCTTATTCAGAGAGGATGTTGAACGACATCAATATGAAATTTGTGTCATATAAAATTTTGTCAGAATAAAACAACAAAAACCTGTTTAACTGGCATGACACTATAATATTCTGCACAATGATATTTACCATATTTAAATTTGAGACTAGCAGTTATTCGTTTGTTTCCTCATGTTATTCCACAATATATTACAATGTAATGCATAACATATTGTGTGGATATGCACTGTGCACTAAATGAATTTAATCAATATGGTATAATGCATTAAATTCTACAAAACACATTATGATTAATTATTGCGTTTTTGTGCAGTAAGTTATTGATTTTATATTACATATGCTTGATTAGATTTGCGATCAATACTTTTAAGGATTTTCATGCATTTTTTTGTCACCTACCCTGACTGCCAGAGACATAGTAATGAAATATACAAGAAAAGAATCTATGATATATTGTTTAGATCAGTGGTTTTCAAACTTTTCGAGCCACGTTCCTTTTTTAGAATTTGTCAAGCTCCCCCCCCCCCCTCACCTCAAAAATAACTAGCTAACAATAAGCCACAAATAACATATAGTAAGGAGAAAGTCTGTTCTATTCAAAAAACAGGTTGAAAATATGTGTACATAAAAAAGAAGTGTAAACAATAAAGAAAAGTAAATATCCAAAATAAGACGAGCAGGATCAAATCTAACAAATTTGTTTATTTTTAATTAGCTCCATGCCTCCCAAAAAATTGTTCACACCCCGAATATAGGGCACTTTTATTGATTATTATTATTACCTATATAAAAATTTACCTTTCATCTGTTTTCGCAGATCAAAATTGAGAATAAGAAGTTGGATTACAAGAATGTTGGATCCAAATGTGGATCATTGTCGAATACATCACACACTCCTGGTGGAGGAAAGGTGATTTGATTGATTTTGTTGCTTTTAAACATGAAGTGGAAAGTGTGTTGTTGTTAGTGTTAGGATCATAAATTTTATTTCAATTTTCTGACATTTGGCTGTAGTCTTGCTGATATTGTGTTGATCTATTAGTTATTTGACCCTCCTTTCCGTACGTTAAAGCATTGCTCTTATGTTCGTAGTATCAATATTTATGTTACTAAGTTCATGCGATTAAAGCAATTTTCATAATCAACCAGGTAAAAATTGAAAACAAGAAACTGGATTTCAGCAATGTTGGATCAAAATGTGGATCCTTGTCTAACACAACTCATACACCTGGTGGAGGAAAGGTAATTTATCTCTATTAGTAAATAATATGAATATTGCTTAGAATAGCTTTATAGAAAGACAGGTTAAGAATAAGAACATCAATCAATGAAGAATGTCTGTTTGCCAATGTCTGTTTTGCTAACAGGTGAAAATTGAGCACAAGAAATTGGACTTGAGCCATGTCAGTTCCAAATGTGGTACCTTCAACAACTTAACTCATACTCCTGGAGGTGGAAAGGTAGTGGCTTAAAGCTTGAGTGTCATCGTCTTTGTACAGCTCCTATGCCTAGAATTTTTGGGAAGTATTTTCCATGGGATGGTTATGGTATGAATGTTCCCTCTTTCACTTCATAAACATCATGTTTGTATTTGGACATTTTTTTTTGATTTGTCAGATTTGAATATGATTGGGTTCGGTTTACATCAATCAGTTCATTTGATATAGTGCTGAGCCTGGAGTCTAAAAGTTTATAATTCGCCAGAGTTTCTGTAGTCAAAAAAAATTTTTTTTTAGGGTTGAAGTCAAAATTTCTTTAAACCTGGTGCCAATAGCTGTTGTTGCTACACAAGACTTCATCGTCCTGATTTTTAATTTGTGGATGAATTTTATTGGATGTGACATTAGATGCAAATCAGACATATTACTTTCCATCGATGATGTCGTCAAAACTAACAGTATTACACTAACTAATACATTAGTAATTATCCTCAATGTGATTCACATTGTAATTCGTAATCATGATTATTTTGATGATTTCAAGGTCAAAGTTGAAAGCAAGAAATTAGACTTCAGTAATGTCACATCTAAATGTGGATCAAAAGACAACATGAAACATACAGCACAAGGTGGAAATGTAAGTTGTGTCAGATTTATAGCATTAGCATGATTTGTGTTTGGGTGTGCGTGACCATTGTTGGTGTGACTGTAAAGAGTGTATGGTGTTTAATAATGATTTGTAATGTGACTGTAGTCATTTATCGTATTTATTATTTCTGTAAATTTATAATAATTATATTGTTTACAATTTATACTATCAATTTTTGTTGACTTAGTAATGGTACTATTATTTCTGAAGTTCTCAAACTAAACATTTTGGTAAGTGACCTAATTTCTTAATCAGTAAAAGTGCTGGATTAGTGTCACTGGAGAAGATAGGGTTTAAAATCTAAATGTATGA